GTCTCCATCCCTGGAGGTATTTAAAAGACGGGTAGAGGTGGTGCTCGAGGACATGTTTTAGTGGTGGACTTGGCAGTGTTAGGTTAACGGTTGGACTCTATGATCTTAAGGGGCTTTTCCAACCTTAACGATTCTATGATTCTATGAAATATTAATATTTAACTTTCAGCATGCAAAAAAATATTTCTTTATTTCCTCCCCCCAAACTGTTTAATAGAGAGCTGAATTTATTTTCTCCTGGACTTCCAGATTAGTGCACCTTTAGGTTTAGAATAAGCTTGGAAGACCTGAATTTAATGGGAACTTTCCTGAGAAAGTGAAGCCCTAGCCTATAAAAAAAAAAAAAAAAAAACACAGCAAGAAAGATTTTGAACTCAATCATACCCTCACTGAGTGTTACTGAGAGTAGGTAAAATATATAAAGAGGACTTTATGCTTTCTGTTAGTGCAAATCCTTAAGTATAGTGTGTCTGGAAACTTAGGATAGACAAATATGGCCAAACGTGCTTACAGTTTTCATCCATTTTGCTTTGGATGAAAAGATTACATTTTTTTCCCTCCTCATTTAGTAAAATCAGCTTATACTGACATGGTTCTAGGTGTTCAGGAGTAAGGATGCAAAATCCCTTTACATGTTCACAGCAGAATCACTTCACTGCAACTGCAGCGCTGTGGAACATAGTAACTGTGAATCTCAGGAATACAGCAAGAATCACAACTCAAACTGATGTGTGGTGCCTCGGTCCTATCTTACATGGCATGTTAAAATCCCAGGAGCTACAATCTTTCCTTCACCTCATCCAGCTAGCAGCTGGATTTCCATTTGTATTTATTCCTTCACGCTCTATCGAGTTCCAAGTGATATTAACTTCAGCAAGGAACCAGAGACTGGATCCTCTTTTGACACATGTGCCACAAATGCAAGAGGTGTAGAGAAAATAAAATCCTGAACACCAGCAAGTCAGACAGGAAAAGGCAGATGCTATTCTTTAAAACAAAAGCCCTGTAAGCTAACAGTTACTTTAGTTCTACATCCATCTATCCAGGTGCTGCTTTTGGACTGCTCTTTTTAATTCATCTATTTTCGTGGCAGACAAGCCTAGCAAGAATCAGAAGCTTAGCCTCAGAAAAGGCTATGATGGTGCAAGTTTCCCTGAAATTTAAAAACATAAAGCACTGAGCTACCAAGATCTAGGACCTAAATCCTCAAGATATCTAACCCCAAATCAACAGGGGTTTGAAGACTAACACTTTTAAAGGTCTTAGGCCGAGAGCGCTACGGTGCCCTTTAGCACCCAGTAGTAGTACAACAATCCCCCGCTAGCCCTAAACGTGCTATTCTTCATGCAGGAGGTATTATTTGTCCGAGGTGTGCAAGAGCCCAGACCCACTAGCACAGCAGCACCTCACCGGAGCTAGGGAGCACTCCCTCTCAGCAGGCCGAGGAGGCTAGAAGCATTGCCATGGGTGCAGCCATACTGCCCTCAGCTGGTTTGCCTGATAGTAGCTCTGGTGTTTCTCTGTCGACCATGGACCACTGCATGGTGAAGATACGCTTCAAGCGATTTCTCAGAGGTCACCAGGCAGTCAGGGGATGGTAGCAAACCAAAGCTGTAACTGATGAAAAGAAACTGAGCCAGCACGTAAATAAACGAAAGGTGGTGTGGCACTCAGCACTAACCCTGCAGGCCACCCAGGCCTTCTGAAAGGCCAGGAACACGTCCACCAAAACGTCTGCTGGTTTACTTTGAGACAAAGAACTAACTACTGTTTTTCTTTTCAGATTGTTTCAATGAGTAAAATACACACAGGTATTTTGAGTAAAAATTGTCTGCTCTTCAAAAAAAATCTGAAATGCAATTTGAAAATGAAAGCAATGCTTTGTTCCTTTTATCCAAATTCACCGTGGAAAGTTTCTCGTGTTTTCTTTCATGGGCTCCAAATCTGTGTAAGAAAAATTCATTACAGTCAGGTCTTTGACTCTTCTTTGCTATGGATAAAAAGGACATTCTTACCTGTAACCGTTTGGTAGCTTGGCCCAAAGACCTTTCTACGGCTTTAATGCCATTTTCCAACCTCAGACTCTGCTGGCCCTGAATGTCAATTTCACCCTTCACCTTCTCAATCTTTTCCTTGACCTCTTCTTCATTCACTTGGGACTCTTGAACTTCCCGCTGCAACTTTTCAGCTTCGAGGCCGCTTTCCATGTTGTGGATCTGAGACACGTAGTCCTTCAGCTTGCTCTCGCACTCCAGGATCCTCTGCCTCATCTCCTGCAGCTGCTCCTTCAGCTGTTTTTCGTTCTCCTGTTCGATCTGCAGCTCGTTTTCCCAGAACTCTTCCTCTTCAATCTCCACTTCGTTCCTTTTGATCTTCTGCTCTAGCTTGAGGATTTCTTCTTCCAGGCTGGAGTTATACTTCTGCTCCCAGTAGCGGATCTCGGCCTCGTTGGACTCCAGCTGCTTCTCAATGCACTGAAGTTTCTCCGTCTGGAGGTGGATCAATTTCTTCAACTCGTCCGCTGTTGTCTTGCAGTTGTTGAGCACCTTTTGCTTGAACTCGGATTCCTTGCTTTTCCCAAAGATGTCCATTAAGCCTTTGGCCCCCCCGGTGAAGGTGAGGGATTTCCTTTTCGGCTCCCTCCTCTTCATGGACTTGTCGCCGGGAGGCCTCAGCTTGGCCAGGGGAGGCAAGCTTTGCCGGTACAGAGTCCTCTCCGGGATGCGAGCCACGCTGTCCGAAGTCGGCCTCTCGCTCAGGGAGGGCCCGGTGCGGCGCAGGATCAGCTGCACGTCGCTCGCGTACTGCCCCCACTTGTTCAGCGAGACGATGGGGTTTTCGTGCGGCGCCAGGTGCCGCTCGGTGTCCCGCCACTTCTCGATCAGCGTGTACCTCCCGGTGCGGCCTGCAAGGCAAG